TATCTCATACTGCTACGTTGTACTTGTATCTCATGTTACTACGTTGTACTTGTATCTCATGCTACTAAGTTGTACTTGTATCTCATGCTACTTCGTTGTACTTGTATCTCATACTACTACATTGTACTTGTATCTCATACTACTACATTGTACTTGTATCTCATAGTACTACTACGTTGTACTGGGTGTGTTCTCTGGTCTTCTCACTGATCTCAGACCAGACAACAACAGAAACACATTCAAGTTTAATGAGAAACACAGAAATGAATTTGTGAGTTTCCTCTTCTTCAGTCAGCATATCTGAGATCAGCTGTCTCATGAATATTCATGAGGCTCATATGTGATGTTTATTTATACGTATTCACTGGAGATCTGAACACATCTGGAGCCTCTGCATGTTTTACGTCTGTAGGTTACAATGTAATAGTTTTTTTGTTCGATTTATGACACGAGGACCCAATTCATCCCAAAATATTATTTTTTTAAATAAACATAAGCAGTAAACACGTGTTTTTAAATTAAAATCCTCTGACTCGTTTCTCTGCTGCTGAATGTCTGATGTCTTCAGATTGAAGTGGGCTGATTGTTTTTACCATAAACTAACTAAAAACTAGTTAAAAATAAAGATGTCTTGTCAGTATTTGCAACCCATCATCAGTCGACCCGTGTGGAAACTAACCGTCCTGTAACTCTACAAGCGGTCGGTTTCCCATCATGCTTCAATGAAACGCTCTGACGGATCGTTGTGACGGCTCTGAACCACAACATGAGTAAAAACATGGCCGCTGTGTCTCTGAGAGGTTTCCGTCTGTGGAGACTTCAGAGGAGACTGTATTCATCTTCTGGAGCAACAACTGAACTTCTGACTCAAGTATTTTATTCTTGCTTTAACTAAGTTGTCTTTATAGCTGTACCTAGGCCTGCCTCAGTTGTGATTGGACTGTGAGTTTCTGCTTGTCTGAGGAGGTCTGATTTAGTCTCAGCTGGTGAATAGCTTTGCTAATTTCCAGGGGAGGAGCCTGCACATCTCAAGGAGAGGTTGGAAGCGTCAGCAAACGAAGGCTAGGGTGAACGAAGGCTAGGACGAACAAAGGCTAGGGCGAACAAAGGCTAGGGCGAACAAAGGCTAGGGCGAACAAAGGCAACAGGGCAAACAAAGGCTAGGGCGAACAAAGGCAACAGGGCGAACAAAGGCAACAGGGCGAACAAAGGCAACAGGGCGAATGAAGGCTAGGGCGAACAAAGGCAACAGGGCGAAGGCAACAGGGCGAATGAAGGCTAGGGCGAACAAAGGCAACAGGGCGAATGAAGGCTAGGGCGAACAAAGGCAACAGGGCGAACAAAGGCTAGGGCGAACAAAGGCTAGGGTGAACAAAGGCTAGGGCGAACAAAGGCTAGGACGAACAAAGGCTAGGGCGAACGAAGGCTAGGGCGAACGAAGGCTAGGGCGAACGAAAGCTAGGGCGAACAAAGGCTAGGGCGACTTTTTCAAGCCCGACTTTGTCAAGCTAAGACTTCTCGAGAGTGTACTTAGATGTGTTTGCGTCTGATTTCTGTCCGTTCCTCTGCCCGGTGGTCACGTAGACATTGGGCCACTCCCAGGTGCCGTGATCCCACTAACCTCATCTATCCTACTCTCTCAGCTCATGGCGAGCAAGTGGTGGCGGGGGGGGGGGCTCTGGAATTGCCAGTCGGCAGTGCCGAAAGCTGAGTTCATCTCAGGCTACGCTTCCTTGCTCTCCCTTAATTTTCTTGCTCTAACTGAGACCTGGATCACAACAGAAAACACCACCACACCTGCAGCTCTGTCAGATGTGTACTCTTTCTCTCACACTCCCAGAGCTGCGAGGCGAGGTGGTGGTACTGGCCTGCTACTCTCCCCAAAATGGAAATACTCTCTTGTCTCTGTTCCACAGTTCTCCCCGTCCTCTTTCGAATTCCATGAGGTTACTGTCTCTTATCCAGTCAAGCTCACCATTGCTGTTGTGTATCGCCCACCAGGCCCTCTTGGTGAGTTCCTGGAGGAGCTTGACACATTAGTCTCGCACTTCCATGATGATGGCACAGCACTCATCCTGCTCAGTTAGAACCTCTTCTTTCCTTCCTCTCCTCCTTTGATCTTTACCACTCCTCTTCTCCTCCTACCCACAAGGCCGGCAACCAGCTGGATCTTATCTTCACTAGACACTGTTCTACTGCTAACCTCTCCGTCACTCCCCTCCAGCTCTCTGACCACTATTTCATGTCCTACTCCGTCTCGCTCTCCTATCCCCCCCTTCCTTCCTCCACCTACCAAATTGTCCCCCCCTCGGCCCCTGATTTAGAAAAAAAACCTGTCTTCACGGAAACAGTTCAGTGACACACAGGATATACGTAGAACAGATTTTTTAGCTCCAGAACCGGGAAATTATGCCTTTGTCTACATGAAAACAGCGTAAAGGTGAGGAGCGTTTCTGATAATTATCAATAAAGCGGTTTGTGGTTCTGGAGCTTGTTGGCTGTATCTCTGTAATGGTTTCACGGAGAGAAATATTGAAGATATCTTTGGAATCTGTGTCAAATTCTCTTGCTTTTTGCTATCTCGGTTGTCCGTGTTAGCTTTTAGCTTTGTGTTGTTAGCTCGGACCGGAGTGCGTAGCCAGCTGACTCATGACGAAATATATGCGATATTGTTGTAATTCTTTTTGTTGCTTATTTTAGTTGTGTCGAATTGTGTTTGGAGTGTGTAAAAATGGCTTACATGATCTTGTAGCCCAGACCTTTTTATTTAACTGGGTATATATATATACAGTATATGTGTTTAACATTCACTATATTCGTTCCTGAAAAGTGCATTGTACGACACGCTGTACGCTAAACTTTCTCTGTAAAATCGAGAGCCCCCCACCTGGGGTGCTTTCGGGCTAGATAGGTTAGAGTAGAGTAAAGTTAGAGTACAGTACAGTAGAGTAGAATACAGTAGAGTTAGAGTAGAGTCCAGTAGAATAGAGTCTGGTACCTGTAGGTTCTTCCTCCACACGTTCACAGCAGCGAAGGCCAGTTGCATCTGTTTCCTTCGAGCGTCTTTGTGTCGTTTGTAAGCGATCTCGATGAAGATGAGGAAGATCCCGGCGACGATGCCCCCGGCAACCAGCATGAACACACCTGAGGAGGACAGCCAGGTCCTTACCATCCGTACATAACCACATGTTCCGGTCTCACACCTGTCTGAAGGTCCGGTTCCTACCTGCCATGTTCTCGAAGGTGAGGGTAGCGGGGGCGTTGCTCCTGGAGTCACACTCCTGGTATCGAACCCACGTCTTGTCTAGATCCTCCATGAAGCCATTCTCATGAGAGCTGAGGAGAGACAACCAAACAGGATGAGACTTTGGCAACATGTCTGTCTTAAAAAGTGGGTAGGGTATCGGTAGGGTAGGGTACCACAAGGGTTATAGAGTGGACACCGTGGGGTATCGGTAGGGTACCACAAGGGTTATAGAGTGGACACCGTGGGGTATCGGTAGGGTACCACAAGGGTTATAGAGTGGACACCGTCTGGTATCGGTAGGGTACCACAAGGGTTATAGAGTGGACACTGTGGGATATCGGTAGGGTACCACAAGGGTTATAGAGTGGACACCGTGGGATATCGGTAGGGTATCACAATGGTATCAGAGGGAAAACGATGGGGTATCAGTAGGGTCTTCATGAGGGTATTTTTACCTGAGAATAGCCAGAGAAACGTTCTGTTTCCACGGACTGTCTTTCCTCATTCCAATCCCAAATCCGGAGCGAAAGAAAAGCTCTCCTGTTGTCACCAGATCGCACTTCTGCGATGCCTCGAACTCCAACACAGCGCTGTCCCAGATGAAGGCATGAAGCTTACTGCAGGAATAAGAGGGGGGGGGGAGGCATTAAGGACCACAGCTGTGGACAGTAACGTACATTTCTGAGAGACAGAATAAAGAGCCTACTTGTCTCTGACGGCCTGGATGGCCTCAGCGGCGCTCTCGTAGTTGTGCTTCTCCATGTGCCGGTACATGGTGCTCAGCTCCACCTGCCGTCTGAAGTAGATATCCACCGAGCTCTGCTTCACTGTGGCGTAGATGAACTTATCCGATGGGTTACGCAGCTAAAAAACAGAGAAGAGTTAACTTTGATCAAACCAGCAGCAGAGTTCAGGAAGCAGGTCACCTGATGATCGACGTCCACCGTCAGACCTCTGGAGGGGACTTACTGACTGATTGCTCCTGGTGCATTCTGGGTCACTAATATAGCAAATTAGACAATCAAAGACATGAATGATATCTGAAGCAGCAGGAATAAGTGTTCTAATGATAAAACTGTATTTTAAAAGGTCTCTGTAAAGCTCTTTGCTTGATTATATGAAGTGCTCTATGAATAATATACTAATGTGGAAACAGTGGAGACATAAAAGATGGAGCAGACGATGAGAGGTAGAACCAACTAGAATCAGTCAGAGTATTGATGGCTGTATAATAGATCTCACCCTGGGGTCATTGATGCCAGTGATGCGCTCCTCAGGCCGGTCCAACACAAGGAAGGCTGCCAGGTTGGCAGTATAGGACGCTACGATTATCATAGCGAAACCTGCCCACACCATACCCAGAATCCTCGCTGAGAAACTCCTGGGAGCTCCTGTCAGACAGACAGACAGAGAGACAGGAGTTAATAGTGTAGCAGGAAGGACTACAGGACAGGAAGTGACGTCACAGATCACCAACCTTCTCCGATCCCAGAGTTCAACAGAACTCCCCATGAGAACCACATGGCGGAGGACAGGGTGAGGGCGTCTTCTTCTTCTTCTTCACTGTTCACTTTAAACCTTCCAAACGGGCTGCAGACAAATCACATATGTGTGTATTAATATTCATATATATATATATATACATATATACATACATATATATACATACATATATACATATATATATATACATATATACATATACATATATATACATACATATATACATATATATATATACATATATACATATATACATATATACATATATATATATATATATATATATATACATATATATATATACATACATATATATACATATATATACATATATACATATATATATATACATATATACACATATATACATATATATATATACATATATATACATATATACACATATATACATATATATACATATATACATACATATATACATATATACATATATATATACATACATATATACATACATATATACATACATGTATGTATATGTATATATACATACATATATACATATATATATACATACATATATACATACATATATA